CAGCTCTTGCCACACATGCGCAGGGGGTGGAGAGTTCCCCAGCACAGAGGGAGCATGGCGCTGGAGAAAGGTAAGTTCAGCCCAACGGGTGGGGGGCCCTGAAGGTGGGGAGGGCCTAATGACCCTTTAGTGCTATGAAAAAAAGTTTGTTTTCCTGGCACTATAATGTTCCTTTAATTATAAATAAATGCCCAAAAATAGGGGAAAAAATGAATTTTTTTCACAGTTTATGCAATAATAAAGTGTGCATAATATGTCCAGCTAAGGAAAAGTAATTCAAAATAAATTCAATCATGTGGCTTGATTTATAGAGTACATAATATGTATAGGATTTTAGCTTATTTTGAAAGTTACAGGTCACAAAATACAAGGACTAAAATAAAATTTCAATGTGAAACAATTTTAGAAGTTGGTATGTTTCACAAAACCTGGTTCCGGTTTGTGGGGGGGAGTAGCTATGACGTAGCGCACACACACGCTCGCTCCTGTTAGCGCCAAGAGTGAAGCCCAATAGAAGAGGAGACTCATGGTAGCAGGAGACGCCTGAGAGTCTGAGAGTCTGGGAGCCGGTGAGCGAGTGAGCTGCCTGTGAGCCTGCAGCCCGGTAGACATAGGATTCAACGTAGCTGTTGGAGACGCTGGAAATTCTAAGAACCGGAAGACGTTGTGGTTGCGCTAACATAACTCAGACCCACGTGTGAGGAAATAAATGGAGAAATAAATTGGGTTGATCGGGGAAGACAGTGCTCTTGCTAGTGCAGGGGAGTTATCGATTCCTGTTATTCCGTTGCCACTAACAGGCTGGAAAACCCAGAGAACCAGTTTATTTTTCCTCCAATACTACAAACAGATGAGTACTATAAAATGTACTCTTTGATTGCATTTTATTGCATCCACAATGCATTGCTTTTTATGCATTGGGAGGCTTGTGGTACCTAACTTGTTACAGAAGAAAGTCCTATATAATGTTTTCCAAGTATATATTGATTGGAGCATTTATCATCTATATTTAAAAGAGATAGCCTTCTCAAATATATGAGCAGTGTGTGAATAGAGTCCAGAAGCCTAGAAGTTAATTTGCACTTAAGGAGTTAAGGTTGTACAGCAAGTGAATAATACCTACTCACTAAGGAGACAACCACATTGACTCCAACCTTGAATAATGGTGTCAAAAAATATTCCTGAAAGCCATGCCCTTAAAAAAGATAAAAAAGAGATCAAAGATTTTAGATCTGAAAAAAGGCTATCCAACTTTTTTACTCCACAATCTCCAAACATAAGAGAAATAAATGAAGGTGCCTCATTTATCCAAGATGAAAACAAAGAAAATAATACTCTCCCCGTGAATGAGATGCAGACAATGTTCTCTGACATCTTGGAAAAAAGCCAACAGCTATTATTTGAAAAAATCTCCTTAGAGTTACAAATTAATGTCAAAGAGATAAAAAAAGATATTGCTGTAATTAACCAAAAAGTGATCAATATTGAAAAAAGGCTTGAGGCATTGGATTTCCAACAAGGGAAGATGCAAACACAATATGATCAATTATCAACCAAATATGGTGAGATGTAACAAAAAATATCTGATTTGGAAGACCGCAGTTGGCGGAATAATATCCATATCAGAGTGATCAATGAACAAGTTAAAGGAGATAATCTACTATAATAATCTACAGGAATATCTGCTGAATTTCCGGAATATATGTATGACTTTTGAGTCAAACAAAAAATAATGGACAGATTTCACCACCTGACCAGACCAAAGGGAATACCAACATCAGCCTCCAGAGATGTCAACATATGCTTCCATCATTATTGGTTTAAAGATCAGGTTATGCTCAAACACAGATCGATAATGGAAACGGATGCAAATTATACGTATCACGATTTGAAAATATTCCAAGATCTGTCCTGAAATACAAGAAATGGAAGAAGATCCTTTGGGACAGTAACAAATATTTCAAGAAATAATCAAATAAAGTATAAATGGGGATACCCGACTAAATTAATAATATTGCAGAGGAATGATACACTAATTTTTTCCGACCGCCTAAAGGCATCTTTGTGGCTTGAAAAGAAATCATTGCAATAATGTTCATATTTATTTATTTATAAAAAAATTTACCAGGGTGGATACATTGAGATTTATCTTGTTTTCAAGTATGTCCTTGGTCCACAAAACATTGCACTGTTACAATAGGATTCAATATTATACCTCAATAAATAAATAAAGATATAGAACTTAACTCGGGATAATTGAGATCTGAAATCACTTTCATAGCAGAAACCCTTAACATTCAAGCGAATACTTTATCCTCAATTCAAGAGGAATATAAGCTACTTCAAAACTCTTACTTAAATATGGAATCTAAAATAAAAAGTCTGAAGGAAACAATTATCGATTTGGAAGACAGGGTAAGGCGCAAGAACATTTGCCTAAGAGGTATACTAGAACTAACTTATTACATTTCTCAAGAATAACGTCAAAATAGAAGAACCTTTTCTGAGCAAACGCAGATCCTAAGGGTCACAAATATTAAATATAGATGGACATTTCTCACAGGTATATGGAGGGTTAAAAGTGGGGGTTATCTTGTGTTTTTTTATGGAATTCAATCATTAATGTACATAAGACTCTGTCTTTCAAACAAACCCATTTTTATTTTGGTTAATTGTTCATATAAGTAGGCAATCATGTTTCTATGAGATGCTGTGTACATACGAATTATAGTATCTTGGACAGAATTTTCTTAATGGCACATATTTGGAGGGGGGAGGGTTGTTTTTTGGCACATTTTAATCTTCCCTCCAAAAGATTATGGTGATACTATCAAATAAGAAGATTTGTATATATGATTAACACATGATTACAACTTAAATTATTTTTGCTTTGTATCAGGACCAAAGAAATTAGTTTTTTATGTTCATTTTTTGTCTTCCTCCTCTTTTTCAAAGTGGCTGACTTAGACATTTCTCTACTTCCTCTCTTTTAGTCACCATCTATGAGTTTTTTAGCTCTAGGTTAAAACATTTATCTATGTTTAAATTTGGAGATGATTATGGTAGTTTTTGTGCTTGTTTTTACAAACACAATGACTGTGTTTATTGTTGGCTTTAATGTTGTTTGTGTTTTTTTTTATCAAGGTGAGCTAAAAGGGCTACAGAATGATCTTGGAGGTTTTCTAGATTATACAATTTTTTTTCACTAAATTCAATGTATTTTCCCAGCAGGTGTGCGTCTTAAGATTAAAGAGATAAATAATTTAAAAAAATGGATAAAAATCAGGTGTACTTGGGAAAACATTTTGTCTCAATTATATGTGCTTCTTTGGAGAACCCATAAGCTAGAGGAGTGTCAGTTGCTATATTGAAAGAGAGTAAAGGGACACTGTAGGCACCCAGACCACTTCTGCCTATTGAAGTGCCTTGGGTGCAGTGTCCCATCACCCATAAACCTGTGTCACAAACATACCTTTACCCGGTGCCCGCGCTGCTCCTCCAGTCATGTGAGCAGAGCGCACCACTTGGCCGCATGGCCTCTGTCCTTTGGCTGCGCGACCACATATAATACTTACCTTCAGAGGGAGCCGTTCGCGGGACGAACTGCAACCCCTAAAAATAAAATAAATAGCCATTATGTCATTACCTTAAAGGTACCATGTCATCTAGGCGACCCAATGCTGTTTGTGCTCGCAGAGATGACGTGGACTAATGGGAACTCTTTTGAGCCTATTTAAGGCTTGTTTTAGCCTCCATTCTTTATCCTATCGTGGTTTCTGTTTGGATCCTTGTTTAGTGCTCCTGGTGATTCCCTTGTGATTACCTCTGTTTGACCTCGGCTTTGTATTTGACTTCTGATTTCTAGTATCCTGACCTCGGCTTCCTATTTGACTTCTGATTTCTGGTATCCTGATCCCAGCTTCGTATTTGACTTCTGATTTCTGGTATCCTGACCCCGGCTTTGTATTTGACTCATGATTTTTGGTATCCTGGCCCCAGCTTAGAATTTGACTTGTGTTTTCTGGTATCCAGACCCCGGCTTTGTCTTAACTCTGAGTATTTCTGTTATTCCTGTCCTTGATTTACCTTGACCCTGTTTCTTGTTGTATTAATACGTTAAGTAGGGCCATTCTAATGCTCAGTAATACGCCTTTTGGATCCACCTTTTGTGGGATTCCTCTTTCCTGTGTGTTGGGGTACGACTCCCGTGACACCCAGAGCATGAAATTAGTGTAGTTTTAATTACCTGCTAGGGTTAACTCCTCCTCCAATGGCTGTTAGCAGGGGAAGAGTGAAGGCGGACCTGAGTCAGCACCAAGGACATTGGTGCTGGACCCATGTTTTTAACTCCTTCTGCACCATGGGGGGAGGGGCTTGACAGAAGGGGAAGCTATAATGCCAGGAAAAGATTGTAATGTTGATGCTAAATAAATTATTGTTATTTGTAAACGAAAGATATTTTCACATTTTAATTAATGTTTATGTTCCTAATTCAGGTCAGATAGCCTTTTTAGGGAAGTTATTTAATAATGCAGACAATATTGATATGGGAAAGGTATGCAGATAATTTCAATGGTGTAATGGACCCATTATTTGATTTAAACAAAATAGACAGGAGAAACAATTGATAAAAAAATAAAAATAAATAAGATTATCTAAAGCCATGTTAATTCTGGTGAAAAAGGTCAATGTACAGTTTGATACATTGTTTAAGTATTACTGAAGTCAAGTTCAAATTACTGAACACTCAAGGCTCACGGCTATGTATCCTCCTTATTCTAATAGATGTTCTTGATGTGGATCCAAGAAAGGTTCTCACATTAACATCTGACAAGATTGGCGCTGGAATCGGGTAATTACCGTTAACATGTATTAACCCTTACAGTGTGGGGGTGGCACAAGGGAGGGGGGAGCACGAGAGGGAGCTATAGTGCTAGGAATACAAATTTCTATTCCTAGCACTATAGTATCCCTTTAACCAAATATATTTACACTCTTACCTTTTGTTTTTGTAGGTTGAGCCTTCTGTTTCTTCACTGGAGTCTCTATGAAAGATAATTGGTGTATACCATAATTGACATGAGTTCAGGTAGACTCATAAATCTATTTCTCTTCTCTACCTATCTAATGTGTATTTGATTTAACAAACCTGTTTTAAATCAACTTACAATCAACAAGGATTTTGCTTTCAAAGTATTCATTTAATAAAATGTTTTTCCCTTGCTTTTCCCATCCCCAGAATGTTTCAAATACTCTAACACACTCAGTGCAGACATTGGAAAGGACAGTGACAAAGAGGAGCCTAACAGAATGCAGATCTGTGATAAATGTGCTATACAAGTGAAGCTTATAGACCGTAACATGTATCAAAAATGGACAAAAACAAAGATGTCTTTATTTTTGGTGCTTTAGTTCCACGTTTTTTCCCTGGAGTATCTGCAAATATATTATTAATCAATTACTGAAATTTACTGTACTAATGATTTTTAGTGTATACTATAACTGGCATGTAAACAGGTAGAGTTAGTGAATATCTATCCCTATATAGGTAATCTAGATTCGAATTAAGTAAAAAGCTATTGTCTCCATAAGAATTTACAAAACATGTTATTTTTGAATTTGGCAAAGCCAGTCAAAGAAGTCAGTGGTAGCTTTCCTTTTAATTATATCCATATTTTAAACTGAAAATAATAAAATTAATATTTACTCCATCCTATATGTTGTGACTAATGTAAAGCTGAGATTAATAAAACACACTTTGCAAATACATAACAAAAATCTTTATTTAAGTACACAGTAGGTAAGTCATAAAGTAAATATATAGTAAATAAGAGAAGAGAGACAAAACCAAAAGAATACAAGCTTGTGCTAATGCAATATGCTGCTGCATGAAAGTGCAAATTTGGTTCAAGTAACTGAATTTACCCTTTTCAAATAGCCACATTGGTTAAAACAGCCCATGGATTTGCCATGAGTACCAGTTGCACAAAGGAAACATGGCCATGACTATTACTCTTATTAGGCCTCAGTGCTGTCTAATAAAGCAAATCTTTTCACACAATTACCTTTTGTTTTTGTTGGTTCAGCCTCCGTTTTTTTAACTGGAGTCTCTGTGAAAGGTATTTAGTGTATACTGTAATTAATGTGGGGGCAGAAATCTATTTCTCTTCTCTACCTATTTAATGTATATTTGAGTTACAAAAGGGGTTCTCATAACAATTTACAATCAAATGATTTTGCTTCCAAAGTATTAATTAAAATAAATTAACAGTAGCAATTTTTTCCCCTTATTTTCATAAATTCACCAGTATATTTCAAAACTCTTACACACTCAATGCATTCCTTGAAAATATGGACCTTAATACATTACACAAATGTAATAAAAGGTGACAACTGGAACTTACAGAGTGCTAAAATTGATCAAATATGGAAAAAAAATACCTGTTTTTACTTTTGGTGCTTCAGTTTCTTGTTTTTTCTCTGGAATCTCTGTGAAAATGATATCAATCAGTTAGTAATGTATTATAGTTGGCATGTAAACAGACAGAGGTAGTGAATAAATGTCTTTATATCTAGTCTATATTTGTAATCTTAATTATGTTTAACTAAAAACAACAGTTTCCATAACAATTTGCTAAACGTGCTAATTTTGAATTGGACCCAGCCAATCAAAAAACTGAATGGTAGCTTTAGTTTACTTCAAATTCACATTTTAAGCTGTAAATAACAAAACTCTTATATGCTTCATTCTATATGTTACTAAGTATGTAAACAGAGATAAATAATAAAACACACTTTTCAAATACATAACAAAAATCTTCATACAAGTAAATAACAGGTAAACATCAGAGAAAATATATCCCGAGAGAAGAGAGACAAAGCCAAAAAAATACAAAGTTTGTGCAACGGCAATATTCATTTGTGAGTATATATGAAAGCAGTTGGATAGAAGTGCAAATTTGGTTGAACTAACTGAATTTATCTTATCTTGGTTAAAACAACAAATTTATGAAAACTGAAGAGTGTTCAATTACTGTTTGGTTACCATTTGGCATTTTAATGCATAGACCCCACAGATTTGCCACAAGTACTATTTACACAAAGGAAAGATTAGTCATGAGTATCAATGTTATTAGGTCTGGTGGAGTTATTCACCAAATAGATTAGCTAAACTCTGGTGAAAATGACCAAATTCTGACATAATTTTCATATTTACTCCAGTCAAATATCAGAGAATACCAGAGAATCTGCAGCAACTGCCTGGATGCATTCAATGTCCTGATTAAAATCAGGGCTTTTGCAGCTAAAATGTTTAAAAAGTACATTTCTTGGAAGAGTCATAAATCACAAGTTTTAATAAAGTATGGGACTGAATGCATCCAGTACAATGCATATTACCAAATTATCATTCACTTGTTTTTGTGCAAGTGAATAATAATTTTAAGCACTATTTGCCTGCTGACAGTAGCCAGTGGGCAATTAGTTAAATAACCTTTAGCACTTCAAGGGTTAATTATGTGGTAGCTGGCTGGTGCTTGATAGCCAGTCTCCACATAAAAAAAAAGTTAAAAAAGATAAACAATTAGGCTTTACCACCACCTGTCATGTGGAAGGTGAGGACAATCTGCTAAACATTTAAAACTAGTTACTGGGCAACCACTGATACCTAGTTGATCGAAAGATCCTATACCATGAGAATGGAGCCTGTGAAATAACAGGAGGCATACTCAGTCCGTGGGCAGCGAGTCAGGGTATTTCACCTTTCAGCCCCTGCCCCACCCCTACCAGAGCTGGGGGATTAATAACAAAGAGACAGAACATCCTAATGTCCTCATATGCCCCCACTCATTGGTGGCCAATGGTGCAATTATAATATAAAAGGGAAGACATACTGTCCCCCACCCGAGCCCCCACCAATTAGTGGTGGGTGGGATCTCTAAATAATAAAATGGGGAGACCTTAACTATAATATTAAAGGGATCATTATTTGGACCTAATGTCTTCCCACCTTCCCCTACCAACCTTTGGCAGCCTTAATTTTAATATTCTGGGGAGGGACCAAGTGTCCTTCTCCCCCACCCCTAGGTGATGGGTGGGGGCGTAAATAAACAATGGAGGGTGGGCATTCCTTCTCCAAATAGAGGCATGTCCCCTCCCTTCCTTCCCATTCCCCTAGTTAATTCTCTCATCATTGCTCATTAGAAAGAAATAACCCTACCTACCCCCTCACCCTAATGATAGTGACCGGTGGCAATAAAACTAAAACCTGTAAAAAAATAAATGAATTACATTTTTTTTACAGCAGTGACATTCAGCCCAGCCAAAATCCAGACCATATTCAAGCCTGTTCTGGGCCTGAATTGCAAAATCTGGTTATTGTTGAATAGCGTGAACAATGTCTGGATTTTGCAGTCCATATGGCTGGGCTTTAGTCAATAAAGTGTCCATCAGTGTCTCTCTAAATTAAGCAATTCTTTTTACACAACTACCTTTTATTTTTGTTGGTTCAGGCTCCTGTTTCTTTACTGGAGTCTCTGTGGAAGATAATCATTTAGATTTTGAAATCCAATTATTACACCTAATGATCTAATGTAGATTTGAGCCCAAAAAGTTATTTTCATAACAATTTACAAAAAATAATCATTTTGATTCAGATATTAATGGCAGCATTCTTTCTCCATCACCTTCTTAAATTCTAATATACATTTCATAACTTTTACATACTCAAAACACAAATTTGTTGAGAAGGATATGGGAAGATAATAATATACAAAAGTGTGATAAAAGCTGATATAACATAGAAGTTTGAAGATTAAGAATGCTAAAACTTAACAAAAAAAATGTACCTCCTGTCTTTATTTTTGGTGCTTTAGTTTCTTTTCTTTCCCCTGGCACCTCTAAGAATGTATTATTAATGTTTTTTATGTATTATAATTGACATGTAAATAGGCAAAGTTAGTGATTAATTTACTTCATATCTAGTCTATCTGTGTAACCTAAATTTGATTCAAGCAAAAACTACTGCTTCTATAAAAAGAGTCAATGGCCACTTTGAATTTCCTTATTTTCATGATTTAAGTAAAAAAAAAAAAACTCTTTTTTGCCCATATCATTTGCAAATTAAAAGCATATGACTTCATCCTTTGAAACATATAAAATCAGAAAATATTATCAATATCACTGTATATTTATAGAATGCTAACAAATTTCATGAAGTTCTATGAAGGGTATACATGTAGAATATAGATTTGAAATGAAAAATCTCAAAAATTTAAGGATAGTTTTATACATGCTTTAAGATAACCCAACACATTTTATTATAATATAAAAAAATAATTCCAAATATTTACCTGTCTTTGCTTTTGTTGGTTCAGTCTCCTCCTTCTTTACTGATGTCTCTGTGGAAGATATTATATTGAATACTATAAGGAATATGAGAATAGGAAGTGTTAGTAAATAATTGTTTGTCACACTCTAACTATCTAATATGTATTTGAATTCAATCAAAACTAGCCTATCGTGCAGCTATTAACGAATGAATGATGAATTTGAATTATATGTTATTTTACTTTAACATGGTCCATCAAAGAAACTAATGTTATCATTGTTTTTTTTCTTATTTGTATGATTAATGCTCCATAATGACAACTTTTTTTTTTTTTAACGCTACCAACAAAGGTCCCCAGAAGCTGTTGCCTGTCCCTTCTCATATACCTTGCCTTTGTTTGTCATTTTTATAGCCCATGGGATCTCGCTCCTAGTTGGCACACTTTTATTTTTCTTAAATTGGCATATACTTGTGATCTTGCACATCCTCACAACACATAGCATGTCATCAATGTTGGCATAGCCATGAACTGAGTAAATGCAATGTTTTTACATATTGCTTGGAGACATTGTATGAAGCAGGACACTAGAAGCTGGGTATCTCACAAGATCTGATGTGACAGGCTTAAAATAGGAAACTCCACTCTTTGTCAAGTTATAAATAAAACTCATAACAAAATGATCTATACACGTAAATAGAAGGTAAGCTATAAAGAAAATATATCTATAGACAAAAAAGACAAAGCCAAAAATATATTAAGCATGTGAAAAGGCAATATTGATACCGGAGTATGCATCAGATAAATTTGGTGTTTCCTTTGCTCTAATGATTCGTGGATAAAAATATGTGAAGCGTGTTCATTATTTGTGCTATTTAAAGAAGTTAGTGGTGGCTTTTATTTGCCTTGTTTTAATGGTATTTCCAGATGGCAAAATACTTCCAAACTCCATGCCATTATATCTTATCTGAATGTCTTTCTAAATTTAATAATTTCAAATATTTACCTGTTTTTGGTTTTGGTATTTCAGTCTCCTGCTTCTTTGCTAGAGTTTCTGTGGAAGATAATATATTATATACTGTAAAAAGAGTTAATAAATGCCTGTACATCTCTCTTCTCTACCCATCTAATAAACAGTATATTTTATTTAACTAAATAAATCCAATGAAACAAATAATTAGTAGCATTATTATTTTAATGGCTATAGTGTTATCACAAGGTTTTTTTCTTTAAAGTGAATATGCCAGTTTAAACCCCTAAAGCTGGTCCATTTGTCACTGCTCATTTACCTTACATTTTTGCTCATTTTTCCCAGCCCAGTAGACCTTATTTCCAGTTGGTGCAATCTTCCCTACTGCAGTGATGGTATGGGCAGCTTCATTTCTTTTGTGGGTGTGTGCTCATAATCTCATGCATACTCACAACACATCACACATCATCCCTACTGACAGAGTTATGAACTGAATAACATCAATGCTCACGCACACTACTCAAGATAAGATAAGACAGAGCTTTCATAAGTTTTGATGCATCAGGCTTGGAAAAGTAAGTAGCTCTTGACTAAGCTGCTTCCTTTTAAGTATGTTTTGTCAGCTTGAGGAAATGTAGTCCCTCCTTACTTTATGTATAACTTAAAGTGGCACTGTCATGGCCGAATCCAGTTAACTAGTAACTAGTAACGCCAAAATGCCTCTAAGCTCCCCATATTACCTATTTTTAAATCTTAATTTCGTGAATATGACCCCCATATTAGCATAAGGGAGATTGAAATCTCCCAAATGCCCCTACTCGCTATGCTGCGAGTAGGGGCATGTCTACTAAATAGTGAGCAGCCAGTGGCTGCTCACTGTTTTAAAACCCTCCCCTCCAACAAATGGCCCCATGGTGGGGCATCTATTAATTAGTAGGTGGGACATAGTGTCCCCACACCTAGCCCCCACCCATAAGTGGTGGGGGGGGCCTAAAAGAAAATAGTGTAAAAAGTACACTAAAATAAATATAAAAAGACTATGAAAAAGGAGGATGAGGAGGATAAGGTAAATGAACAGTAAATAAACTCTCCACAATCTGTACCAAGCCAATATTGATAATAGTTTATGCTTCACTTATCTTCTCTTATTTACTTCAAGAATATTGGGGAGCAATTTTTTCCATTTTGTGCAAATTTTTGTTTTAAAATCTAGTGTAGTTTGACCTTTTTATAAAGAAAAAGACCTTGTTTACCACCTGTTACAGTTTATGCAATGGTAGGGTACATTTCTCACCATAGTTTACCCTTACTGGTTAAATGTATTCAGAATACTCTTGGAAGCATCAAGGTCCTCTATATTAAATATATCTTAATGAAGGTGTTATGTGAAGATAATAAGCAGTGCAATATTTCATTCTATTGCAGTTAGACTTATCAAGGGTGTTTGTGCCATCAGAGTTTAGAGACTCTAAAAATCTGATACACGTTTTAAAATGTATACCTGTCTTTAGTGATGTCCCGAACGGTTTGCCACGGATGGCGAACATATGCGGTAAACTTTGACCCTGTACCTCACAGTCAGCAGACACATTCCAGCCAATCAGCAGCAGACCCTCCCTCCCAGACCCTCCCACCTCCTGGACAGCATCCATTTTACATTCATTGCGAAGCTGCATTCTTAGTGAGCTGTCCAGGAGGTTGGAGGATCTGGGAGGGAGGGTCTGCTGCTAATTGGCTGGAATGTGTCTGCTGACTGTGAGGTACAGGGTCAAAGTTTACCGCATATGTTCGCCGTCCATGGCGAACCTTTTTGCGAACCGTTCGGGACATCACTACCTGTCTTTATTTTTGGTTCTTCGACCTCTTACTTTTTCCCTGGAGTCTCTGTGAAATATAGTATTAATCTGTTACTAGTATACAATAATTGATATTTTAAACAGAAAGTATCTCGATAACTTATTTATCATACATTTGATTAAATAAAACCAACTATTTCTAAAACATTATGATTTTTTTTTTTCACAAAGCAAATGAAAGCCCCTTTTTTAAAGATTTGACCAATAAATATCAGATCTCTTATACACTGCTCCATTACTTTGCAAAAGTGGGAAGATTAATAAAATATACTTTACAAAAACATAATAAAATTCTTTAAACAAGTACATAGAAGTAAGCAGAAAAGAGAGACAAAGCTAAAATAATGTCTATGCATGAGCCAATGCAATATTGAAATTTGAGTAATAAAAAATATATAGTTTGCTTTTCTCTCATAATTTACAGAATAAAGATATATGCGGAGTGTATTTATAAGTCTTATTATATATCATACAATGATCCATCCCAGTATATATATTGATTTTGAATATGATGTAACTACACTGAAAGCTAGTCAATAAGTCATTGATAGCCATATTTTCCTTATTTTCATGATTTCACCAGTACATATCAAAACTCTTTCACATTCTATCATGTGAGTTAACAAGAGCACAATTTGCACAAAAGGAAATTAGCTAGATGTATTCATGTCATTAGATCTTTTAGAAATTTTAAAAATAATTTCATATAGTGAGCTATCTTTGATTTTGTTGGTGCAGCTTCATGCTTTTTCACCAGAGACTCTGCGAAAGATGCTAGATTATAGTTTGTGTTATAATGAATATGTGAATCTCTCTTCTCTACATATATAATATATTTTTTATTTAAATAAAAATAACTGCTTGTGCTGCTCTGTACAAACAATTAGATTTTTGCATTTGTTAATATTTTACCAAGGGCCATCAAATAAATTAAATGTAGCAATATTTTTGCATATTTTCATGATTTCACCATCATATATATAGATATCCATTTTTACATTTGCTAAGAAAGTCTTCAGGAGCATATATAAACAGTTTTCCTGTGCAATTCTAGACATTAATATACAAACAAGGTAAACACAGAGCTGAAATATCTCAAGACAAGAACAGTAATGCCCCGTTTCCACAGAGCGGTAAGGTTCGGGTTGGTTCGGTCTGGTCCGGTATTTTGAGTGTTTCCATTATGAAAGTGGCCCATACAACCGAACTGCACCATTCCTGGGCCCCCTTCAGATGAAATGGTACGGTACGGTTAGGACGGAGCCACTAGCGTCACACTATACAATCCATTGATTGGCGGGCAAGAAAACATCAATGCTCGCGACAAATGACACGCTAGGTATTTGGTCTAAACCCTGCATGCCCCCTGGTGGTCTGACTTGCAGTGGAAATGCTCACCTGAATAGGCTGGACCATTCTAACCCTTCCAAACTGTACAGACCCGAACCATTCCGCTCAGTGGAAACGAGGCATTAATGAACTCACCACAATCTGTACCAAGGCAATACTGATAATAGTTTATGCTTCACATACCTTCTCTGATTTTTTTCGCTGTTGGGAGAATTAATGCAGCGCTAGCAGATAACTAATCTTAAATCATTTATGTAATATTAATTAATATTATATGTTACTATACATATTCAGTCAGTCCCAATGTGTGTTTCTTTTTGGACTGGCCCCTGTTGTGCTCCCTTCTCAGTCTGAGGGCTTACATTGACTATGAACACAATAGATGCTGATGTGAACTGTATTTATTTTCCAGCATATTTGCTTTGTACCTTTTGTATATGCACCCGGTATGAACTTTCTGGGTTTTGAAATATAATTGAGTGCCTGGTGCACAATTGAGCAATTAAGAATAAAATAAGGAGAATGGTACTGTATGTTTCTTGAAAAAGTAGAAGGCTGTTTCTTTTAGAAACATATGGCTATACATTCACCCTATTGTTTATCCTCATCATAGCTTTTATTTTAGTATACATTAACTATATATTGCATAATGGACAAGAGGTAAAATGTAGGACAAAATATTGCTGGGTTTTAAAAAAAATGGCAAGTAAATAGTGTGGCAGGCATTTCAAAGCAAATTCCAAATTTTAGTGCTAGTGTTAGAAGGTGGGGTCCCTGTTGACCTGGATCCACGGTAATAAGCAAATAAAAGATAGAGATACTCAGCACTCAGCAATAAATCCAAGTGGCTAATTTAGCTTTAAAAGTAAAAATGCAATGTTTTGATACATATAGGTGTCTTTTTCATATGACCTGAGAAAGACACATATATGTGTCAAAACATTGCCCTTTCCCTTTGATAGTGGAATAAGCCACCTGAAATTATTGCTGTGTGCTGAGGACATTTCTTTTTTGTTTGCTTAAAAAACAATAGCAGTGGTGAATTTTCACAATACTCTGCTCCCAATAATTACATAGAAAACATTAGTAACGACTAATGTCAGAACCATATTAAGTACATCCTCTCTTGTCTCCTGGTTTGAATATGACTGTTTGCATAAACATTTTATGCTTGAAAATATGCATTTTCTGCAACAGCAATTTAAAAAGAAAATGGAAATATTTACTGGTCTTTATTTTTGGTTCTTCTGCCTCTTGTTTTTTCTTTGGAGGCTCTTGTTTTTTCTTTGGAGGCTCTGTGAAATGAATGTTTAATCTGTTAGTTGTGTATAAATGATATAAAACCAGGTACAGGCAGTGGATATCTGTGTATTTATTAAGTGCACATTTGAAGTATACATCTGATTTAATTAAAATCAACTACTTCCCTAAATATGCAATATACAAAATATTTATATTGGTAAATTATATTTGATATGTAAACAGCCAGATTTAGGGAATAACTGTCTTTATATCTAGTTGACTTCTGCAATATAAATTGTTTTAAGTAAAACAAACTGTTTCCATAACAATTTACAAAATTTAGCTAATTCTGAACTTGACAAAGTCATTATTTTCCTAACAGAGGAACTTTTTCCAAGATATGTCCATTTTACTAGATGTTAACATTATTCTAAGTATGAACACAATTTCAAATATCTGTTTTTATTGGTTCAACCTCTTTCTTCTTAGGTGGAATCTCTATGGAAGACATAATTAATCAGGGGCAGGAAATCCGCAACTTGGGTGTTTTTATATTTGTGGGTTACATAGGGTCTGAGTGCAATGAGCTGCCTAAGGACAGAGTTGGGTAGATCAGAGATGATCTCACAAAATTGTCACCAACACTTTATTACATTTACCAGTCTTAAAACCAGTAAGAGAAATGGTGGCTTATCCATAAGGAAACTTAGGGCAGCTCGACACAAATAATTGTTATTATAATATTGATAAAACAAATCTATTGCCACTAGTAAAATAATGAAGTACTGACAATGTTTCCCATTGAGACAGTGTTAACACACAAATTTCCATTTTAAATGATAAACATACCCTATAGAGTACCACAGAACTATTTGATAACTGTCTGGATAAGCTTTTTAGAGCTGGCCATGTATAGAATTTAGATAATTTGGGAAATAAGTTCAACCTAAGATAATCTCATACATGCCCAGTATATTCCTAGAGGTGATATTTGAAGTATTCCATTTAGACTTTGGAATAGACGCCCAGTTTATAATAGTTCAAAAATCTTACAATCTCACACAAAATTACTACTAGAAATCACCATAGACTTTGAAAACTGAGCTTACAATGAAAAGATTGTGCCCTTAAAGGAACACAATAGGATCAGGAACACAAACATGTTTTAAATCCACCATTTAGGTGGCTTGCCCTCCCTTAGGCCCCTTAGAAGGGGTTAAAACTCAACTTATTTCCAGCAGCAAATGGGTCCACTGGTGCTGACCTCGTCCCCAATCCACCTTCTTGGGTCCACTGGTGCTGACCCGGTCCCCAATTCCGTAGGGAAAGCACTGGATTAGCTGAAATGGGCTAGGAGGCGTGATGGGGGTGGAGCCAAATACTGTTCTCGCCAATCAGCACCTTATCATAGAAATGCATTAAATCAATGCTTTTCTGTGAGAATTCCGCGTCTCCATGCAGAGCGTGGAGAACCTTAATGACAGTGCTGCCTACTGTGCAGCACTTCCTCAAGAAGCACCTCTAGTGGCCACTGGAGGTGTCCCTAGGGGTCTGTGTAAAAAAGAGAGATTACAAAACAGACAAAAATAAAGCCATAAACACTTATTACTCGCCTAAGAGCTCAGGAAGACACACAGAACCTAGAAGCTCTCTGGATAGCCCAGAAATGAACCAACCACTTCTTACTGACGCTGAAAGTTCCCATGAACAACCTGAACATCACCACCCGTTAACAAAAGAATGTGTGATGGAATTAATGGATGACCTACACCAAGAAATTAAAGATATGACAAGGCTCAGGGACACATTTAGAGAAGAAACCTCTCTAATTTTCATTCCATATCACTCCAAGCAGAAACTATAAAACATTTGCAAGGTAATTACAAATTGTTATCAATTAAACACAACATTTTAGAAAACAAATTAAAAGATTTGGATATATAGACTCGGAAGAGAGAGCCCAAAGAAAAAACATAAGAATTAGAGGAATACCGAAGGATTACACAAAATAAAAACTAGAAAAATTTCTAATGGACTTATGTTCTTCACTTATTCCCTCATCCAAATTGGGTCAATTTCCCTTTAAAAGATACCGGCGTTTAACAAAAGCTGAAGGCATAACTGAACACCTACCGAGAGAAGTAATAGTAAGATTTGCTTCTTACTACATTAAGAATCTGATTACTCAAGTCAGAAGAAAAGAAATATCCAAGCTGGAAACATAAAAAGGGCTGAAGATTTTGGCAGATATTTCTTTTGCTACCAGACAAGTAGAAGGAAATTTCAAGTTTGCATATTGAGAGACAAGCATATTGCCTATAGATAGGGGTTTCCAGCAGCCTTGATTATGCAATATGAAAACTCCTCTCTGATGTTTAGAGATCCTTCCCAAGCACGCCAGAAATTATCAAAAATGGGACTAATAAAAGAGAATGACACCCAAGACCAACATTCTACAAAATAAATTAGGAAATAATTAATGAGTATATAATGCTATAGTTAAAATGGAGGAAACACTTTTTTTTTTCCTTTTCTCTCCTCCTTTCCTTTCACTGATGGGTTATCAGACAATTAAGAGATGGTATTCCTTTAAAGTTTCTCACAATCTAAAAAGTATAGGTAACGTTAGAATAATACTAATAAGAATTAAAATGGTTGCACAGTGTTAAAAACAAATTAGAGGTATGGGTAGTGCAAAGATAAATATAAGGAACAAGTATTATAGTATACGGTAATTAAAATAAACAAAACATGCCAATCAAGAGTAACTTTTAATCTTAGTAAGTGGATGTACAGCTACTTAATATTTATCACCAAATAGCATTAATTAATTGAAGACACACTAATTGACAGGAACTTAAGACAAGCATAGAGTATGTGTAGTGAATTTTTGGCATAGATAAATAGAGGGAAGTTATAAACTTGTAATGTAAGTTTCTTCTTTTTTTTCTCTTTTTATCTAGTCCCTCTCCTTGGCTAAGTCAATTCCCAATTTTGTATACATAAAGTGGTAAAATGGGGGAAGGAGAAAGGAGACATTGGCCCCTCTTTTAGGACAAAATTCGAGTGGCTGATAGAATATTTTACAGCTCATAATCCTCCTGAACTCTTACATCTGTAAGATGCCGAAAGAAGATTAACACACAATGCACAAAGTTAAAGTGTTGGTCTGGTATGAATGTGGTATGTATGATGGGAACTGTCTACAGCACTGGTCAAATCACCTGGACTGTCGAGGTAGTGTGGAATTTGGAGAGAAGAGGTGATGTGGTGGTGGGAAGAAGGCACTAGGTACAAAGGGAAAGGTAGGAGAAGAAAGGAAAATGCATAGAGCTCATACTTTATACTGATGTCACTGAGATATCTCTCAATTAACACCAAGGGGTTGATCTTCCCATATAAGAGAGGGTGTTTATATAACCTCCTGAGTGAGCATAATGTTGACGTGGCATTAATTCAGGAATCTCATTGGGTCATAGACCCTACAAAACTGTGATCATTTACAAGATTCCCTTTGCTGTTTTTTTCTAATTATGAAGGAGGAATAATAATAAAAAAAAAGGAGTAGCCCTAATATTCTCTAGTAAACTGAAAGTTGAAGTGATTTTTCAGGAGAAGGATCTTAATGGGCAAATCTAATTCTCATTGTTAAAATAAATGACATTCTATATACTTTAATTAACTTATATGCTTCCAATACTTCCCCTCTCAGAATTATAAGCAATCTAATCTCCAAAATCAATACTATCACAATGGGTACTCTGATATTAGGTGGCGATTTTAACTGTGTTCCTAACCCCAGTACAGATAGGAGCCAGGCGAAGAACGCCCCAAAGCTTATAGCCCAGATTCCACAAAATTTCAAAATCTATTATGGCGAAATGCACTGTACGACTGTTGGCGAGTGTTTAACCCTACAGTTAAAGAATATACTATTTATTCTCACACTCACCCATCATATTCACGTATAGATTTGTTCGTAGCTAGGAACAACTGACTACCTCTGATAAAAAAGCATTGGTATAGGCCTAATCACTTGGTTAGACCATGCTCCTCTGATAATGTGTATGAAAAATAATACTCAATATAAAATAAGATCCAAATGGAGACTAAATGATGGCCTCTTGAAGGCGGAAGACAATTTTGATTTACTGTTTGAGGAAGCTCAGAGGGCCATACAAACAAACGATAATGGGGAGGTATCGGAAGTGACGCTCTGGGCATCTTTCAAGTGTATAATAAGAGGACTGTTTATTAAACTGGGCTTCTCCATTAAAAGAAACTCAAGAGAGAACTTGCAACAACTGTATATAAGATTGTCAGACATCGAAAGGCTAAATAAAAATAATTTAGGCAACAGAACTTAGAACTTTGGTCATTTAGACAGCAAATTAACAACCTGACATTGGAAAAAAATCAACAAAAATATAACAGAATTGGTAAATCTTTAACCAATAAATTAAAACAAAAATGCAAGTCAGAAATAATAAAAAAAATTGTTGATGACAGTCATATTTACCTGTCACCATAAGACATTTGGGTTCAAATAGAAAATCTACTCAACAAATTAAATCCTTTTTGGCTAAAATCAAACTTCCCAAGATAACAAAGGAGGAGTTAGATATTCTGAACAGTCCAATATCTTTGAGGTAGATTAATGAGGTAATTTAAACTCTCAAACTAAATAAGGGATTCCCATCTCTTTTTTATCAAAAATTTAAAAAAATAGTGAGTCCAATATTACTGAGGGTATTTTCTATCCTTCCTAAACAGGAACATATTTCAGAGGAATATCTTCTCCCCATATCAAAAGAAGATAACCTTTCTAACTGTCTTAAGGAAATAATTCCTTCTCTAATCCATGGCGACCAGGCTGGGTTCATCAGAAACAAGAAGCTAGAGATAACATTCGCAGAGTCATTAATCTAACCCACAGAATCAATTAAAAAAACTCTAAAGTCGCTTTTTTGGCTATGGACGCTGAAAAGGGGTTTGATAGGTGGGATTGGCCGTTTATGAATATGGTTCTGCAACAATTTGGTATCATAGGTAGTTTCAGAGACAGCATCATGTCCTTATATACTAATCCATCTGCAAAGGTAATTGGTCGGCCATGGAATCAGAATACTTTTATATCAAGAATGGAACATGGAAGGGTTGCCCACTGGTGCCAATGCCCTATATTCTCGCTATGGAACCCTTAGCGGCTCTAATTAGACAAAAAGAAGAAGAACATGGCATCCAGGTCGGCCAAATGGAGCATAAGATCATCCTATTTGCCGATGATGCTCTTCTGACTCTGTTGAACCCCATTGAGTCCATACCAGCAGTGTTGAAATTGATGATGGAATATGGTGAATTTTCAAACTTTAAAATTAACATACTTAAGAAACAGATATTGATATTTGGGCTTAATAATATAGCGAGGAATCAGCTTAGGGTCTGCTTTGAGTTTAATTGGGACTGCAGATTCATAGACTATTTGGGGGTGAAAATCACTCAATCATTTGACGACCTGATCAGCATAAACTACCTAAAGCTTTTAGAGGATTTTAGATTGTATTTTAAGAAATGGAGCAAGGTTGAATTATCTTGGATGGAATCAACAAAAGCTTATCTGATCCCAAAGTTAATGTATCTACTCAGAACAATCCCACTTAGAGTTAGTTATAAAATCCTGAGTTGTTTTACAGTAGCTATCTCTAAGTTTATTTGTGCCAGTAAGAAACCTAGAATTTTTTTTAAAAAATTAAGAAATCAGGGGGGATTTCTTAATTTCTGGATGTACATGCATTTCACAAAGCCTGCATGCTATCCCACTACTTAGCTTGGGATAAAAATAATAACAATACCAACTTATGGGAGGAAAATGAAACCCAAGAGTTTAAAGCCGATATTCTATATGATTGATTCGGGATAGATGAGAGTTGTCCATTAGACAAAATAAAATTTAAAAAATCCCATTATTAAGGCGATTTTGAGTACGATTAAAACCATAAGGAAAAAATGTAAACAAACAAATTGAATCATCCTATCTTCTCCACTAGAATTATTGTAAATTAATATGAAAGATTTGGAATTGTGTAGTTGGAGAAGATGTGGTATTAACCAGCTTTGCATATCTTCTCTAAGGGCAGTTTAACCCCCTTCCATTTATTACAGTCTATTTATTATCTTGCCCCAGGCAAAGTATTTACATACTTGAGAGTAAAAAACTATCCGTCTACTAAGCAAATTCTAGATCATAATGATATCATTGATTTCCTAGAGATTCACGGCCCTTAGAAAATAATTTCCTGCTCACTTAAATTCCTCAGTATCAATGATACCTTTGTGAAAAAGTCTCCAATATTGAAATGGGAACTAGATTTTAAGAAAACGTTTGAGTTACACACTTGAAAGCAGGGTATCAAACGAGTCAAAAAGGGTAAACAAGTGTAAATCTGATTGAGATGTACTACAAAGTATTATACAGGTGGTACATGGTTCCAACTAAATTAAATGAGATTTATATTGCTCACTCTGACCAATGCTGGAGATGTGGCAATGCAAAGGGATCCCATCTCCATATTTGGTGGTAGTGCGCGGGGTTAGACATTATGAAAAACAACCTAAAAAGACTTATTTTTGAATTTTTGAGTGAAGAGACACTACTTTTTCTGCAGCTTTTTCTTCTTTACTTAGACCTTCCCCAAGTGGATAAACCCTTATCTAATTTAATGATCCATATTATGCTGGCCACAAAAACATGCATCGCCAGAAATTAGAAAAATAAAGGGTATCAAAACTGGTACGAAATAACATCTCAAATAAATCACCAGTGCTCTATGGAGAAAGGTTTTTACTTGATGAATAACCAGCTGCATCTGTATACAAGAGTATGGGGAAAATTGTTAACATCTTCTTTATTAAGATGATTTAGAAACTTTAAATTAGATCCTGTATTGGGAGTTATATGTTAAATTGACTTTAAGTACAAATCTTGGTCCATCACCTCCCTACCCCGCGCCAGAATGAATTATGCATGAAGAATGAATGAAGTTGAAATGTCTGGTGATTAAATTGGATTTATTTTGCACATTTGATGTGAAGTGTTTGCAGCTGATTTATAATTGCTCTTTATGGCAAAGCACTTTATTGGGAAGCTCCTTGCACTTTAGTGATATACATCAAATATTTACCTGTCTCTGTTTTTGTTGGTTCTAACTCCTGTTTCTTTACTGGAGTCTCTGCGGAATACATGTTTACTATTTAAATGGCATAGTATAAATAAATATATTGACAGGTTTGCTTGTTAAATTTCTCACTGGCTATCTAATCTCTTAACTAAAAATTATTTTACAAAAAACTGATCAATCAAAAGTAAGTTTCTTTATGCTCTGTAATGTATTGTGTACATTATCTGTATTGACAAATGCTCAAGTACACACTGTGCACAATGTCAGGGCAATATGTTGGCCCCCTCTAAAAAAAATAAAAATACCATCTTTGTTTAAATATAAAAACATCTACACATTAAGTTCTGCAAGCTGCAAAGAAGGTTAGTAGCATTTAAAAGGTTTTTTAAAATACATTTTAGTCAAAATAATGACAAGAAATTATTCTGAACAAATTAGGCAACTAAAAAAATAATTAGTATTATGCTTAATCCATAAGTGACCAAAGACATACATCTTGGCCACTTACATACTTGGTGGTCGATGAAGCACATTGCACAAGGAGAGATCAGTGTCTCTGAGAAAGTGCCTTATAAACATGAACTGCTTTAGTGTTCTTCTCTTGGAGCCCAAACCTCTGTGCACTTTACTCAAATTATATTCATATATAAGCTTGACTTAATAGAGCTACCTTTTTTATATGCACAATCAAGAACGTATTTCTGTTCATGTTTTGGAACTAGCATATCTGTGAATTTCATACTATCCACACAGAGTTTTTACAGTGCCAGGTAAAGGCAATGATGTTTGTGGATTAGAGTAAGAAAATGTAAGTTAAGCTTGCAAGTGTGGAGAGTAGAAAGTGGGCGAACCTAGTAGGGATTGTGTAGGTAAATAAGGTAGAGAGCAGTAGCCTGGAAAGTAGAAGGGGGCTCTGGACAGCAGGAGTGTGACTGAGGTGGCCATTAATTTATTAAAGTACCCCAAGATTTTAGCCCTGAACATCACAACAGCAAAGGTTATGTTAAAGAAAGTCCCATCCTCAATTCTCCATCTAAAAGTGCCTCGTCACAATGGCACTATTCAAAAATATTTGCCATGTTAATGGAATAATGGAATTAAATAATTATTAAGCTCTATTTACGTATGTATGGGTTACTGGTATATTGGAGGACAACTTTTGTGCTGTCCCCTTTTTTACACTCATACCTACATCGGACTAGGAGGATGAAAACTATTTTTGAATTGTGAACTAATACACTATGCAAAAATATCTAGATATATACCTTTGCTGTCTTAATTCCTCCATTGCTATGATTTTTACTTTCTTTACAATTTTTAATAATGTATTAGCAAATGAACAGTATAAACAACCATCAAGTGTAAAATGTAAAATTGACTTATGATTCCCTCTGTATTTAAACTTAGAGACATCCAGAAAGTAGGCACTCATTGAATTTTTATGTAGATAAAAACAGAATATTTAATCTAACCCTCCTGGACACAGGAGGGCTCTGTAGACTCAACACAACTTAATAAGGAAGTGTGAAATCTTGTTTTCCTTAAATTGATTTATTATCCAGATGCACCAGATGTGTTAGAGTTTAAAGTCTAAATACATTTTACATAGAATTTTAAATATTTACCTGTCTTTGTTTTTGCTGGTTTAGCCTCCTGCTTTTTCACTGGAGTTTCTGTGGAGCATATAATAGATATTTTAGTAGCAAAATGAAAAACGTGTAGTCAGAGTCTTATGAAGTCAGTAAATATTTGTTTGTTATTCTACCCTACACATATAACAGAAGTGTAATGTACACAAGCTCAACTGTTTTTACAAACAAGGTTTTTTGTTAAATATCACATTCCAACATGGTGAGTCAAAACTTTCTTTATTTTCATGATGTGATCAGTAGAGCACTTATATACTCCAATATGGAATTAAACCATAATAAACCATGATACCAAAAGGGCAAATTTAAATATTGAGGGGTTATGGCAACATTATAATAAGCAGTTAAAGCAAAGGTTGAGGGTTGTGTTAGGGTAGGAGTTCATTTAATCTTAGAAGTACACAAGGAAATAGACTAGGAAGGACTCGGCTGGCCCCACCTGGGGCATTTTGATGATCTCAGCCAACCCAATGCTTTTTCATAAAAAAAAAACATCTGGAAGCTATTGTGCTTGCATGGCAAAATACTGCTCCAATCAGCAAGGAGCCATTGTGTTAAACAAATAGAGGACTATCTTGCCTGCAAAACACTAGAAGCCAAAAGTGAGGATTTTGGTGTTCCAGGAGGTTCTCCAACAACATATTCAATCTAGGCTAAAGGGGAGTATTATTGAGAATTACGTTTTACTCACAGAAAAAGAACATTTGGTTTAATGCAAAATCTTAATGAAAACATATATGTTCAATTACTAACTCGGTTTTTCATGTTGGATGATTGTCTTTACTGCATGTCTCAATAAATATGTATGTATTGCTACACTACAGGCTGCCTATTCTTCTCTACATTTATTGAATCTAAAACCTGGGGGCCAAAGAAGAAACATACAAAGAGTTGTGCAATTCAATAATAAGCACAATTTCCCAGAATAATTATTTCCCAGAGTACGTTAATGCCATTTGGGCTATGCATCTCTTAATTTAACAGTTTCATATATTCACCTGTCTTGGTTTTTGTTGAGTCATGCTCCAGTTTCTTTACTGGAGTCTCTGTGAAATATATTATTAATCTGTTAGTCACACATTATAATTATTATGGGGATATGACATTATAGTAAATGTTTGTTAACAATACTTTGCATTTGAAGCAGTAGTAATGTTTTTTTCTGCTCTTATTATTTAAACAGTAAAATTTCAAAATACATATACATTATATTCTCCAATTTGCTTAGAAGCCCAGGCCCATAGATTTTAGCACTGTACAAATAAGGCAAACCATGGAGCAAACAAGACAAAAGACAAAAAAAAAAAAATCAAAGCCAATAGAACAGAGCCAATGCCTAGGCAAATTTGATAGTCGATTATGTATCACATACTTTACATTGTTTTCTTTGCTGGTATGATTCAAATTATGAATTTTATAGGTTAGCATATAATCCTAAACTAATTATATAATATCATCAAAAGTCATGTTTGGCAATTAAAATTAAAAATACAAAAGGAAAAAAATTGTACTTTCTTATTTACACTGAACAAAATAATAAACGCAACACTTTTGTTTTTGCACCCATTTTTCATGAGCTGAACTCAAAGATCTAAGACTTTTTCTATGTACACAAAAGGCCTATTTCTCTCAAATATTGTTCATAAATCTGTCTAAATCTATGTTAGTGAGCACTTCTCCTTTGCCGAGATAATCCATCCACCTCACAGGTGTGGCATACCAAGATGCTGATTAGACAGCATGATTATTGCACAGGTGTGCCTTAGGCTAGCCACAATAAAAGGTCACTAATTTGTGTCTCTGTAAAATATATTAGTATTATTGTTTAAGCAGCATATAATATTAGATTTGGAGGAACATAGATTGCATTTCTGTCTGTCTATATATCTTTCAATGTCAAGTTATTTTTTAATAAAAAAAACTTAATTTTCGTGTGTTCTTGGAAGTGTTACTTGACGTAAACTGTTTCTATAGATGCTAGAGTATAAAGAGTGTCTCTAACCATGGTACATCTCAACAGAATTTCAAGAGTTTATATATGTTTTCAGAGTTTATGCTTTCAAAATATACAATGATCTTTCTCAATACTAATTAGAGATAGCACATTTTTCTAAGGAAGATTGGAAGGAGGGTCAGAGAGAAAGGAAAAAAAAGTAGGAGAGGAGAATGGATAAAGAATCCCACTGGAATCCTAGAAATATCCTAGACATTCTGTTCCTGTCTCTGCGGACATTCTGGCAATGGCTAGAATAGTCAGGGTACAAATTGCAGTCAAAGGCAGGAGAACACAGGATAAATATAGATAAGTCAAAAGGTAATGAACACAGAAATCAGGATTATTGGAAAACAAGCCAAGGATAAAACCAGTAGACAGACAACTGCAAGGAACACACTATTGGGTGAGGAAGAACTACAACAGGGCAAATAAGCATAGACAAGAGGGGTCTATGTAGCCCAAGATAAAACATGATTTGATTGTGGCATCCCTGTGTGCCAGAAGATATGTGAATAACTGAACGTGACTGATAATTGTGTCACAGGAAGGACGCAGCTCTGCAGGAACACTTGACTCTGCATCAATAATGATGCAAGAATGACTCTGTACAAACACTTGGAGATAAGTCAACAATAACACCACAATGACATGACACTGTACAAACAGTGTAACATGTCACAAATTATGCCAGATTTGCGTGAAAAGGCTATAGCAGCCATGACAAATGCATAGTATGTAAAACATACAAATAAAAATCATATTTTACCCCAAAATATGATTTCAGATGAATAAAAGCTTTTAAACAAGGAAAACTAAACAAGCAAATAAAAGAAGCAAATACATGTAGAAATGACATTAAAAAAGCTTTTATAATTAACCCCTTAAGGACTGGACTGTTTTTGCGATGTTGTACATTTGCGACCAGGCATATTTTTACACTTTTGTGGTGTTTGTGTTTGGCTGTAATTTTCCGCTTTCTCATTTACTGTTCCCATACAAATTATATATTGTTTTTTTCAGGACAAAAGGGGCTTTCTTTACATACCATTATTTATATAATCTCATGTATTTTAATTTAAAAAAAATAAAAAAATATGATGAAAAATTGAAAAAAAATACATGTTTTTTGACTTTTACTTGAAAAATCTTTTACTCATCTACAAAAGCGAATGAAAAAAACTGCTAAATAGATTTAAAATTTTGTCCTGAGTTTAAAAATACCTAGTGTTTACGTGCTTTTTTGCTTTTTTTTGCATGTTATAGGGCTATAGGTACAAGTAGGATATTGCGGTTTCAAAACATACATTTTTAAAATTTATCAATAGTGACATTGTAACACTATTATCTGTCATAAATCTCTGAATAACACCCCACATGTACATATTTTTTTTAAAGTAGACAACCCAGGGTATTCAATATGGGGTATGTCCAGTCTTTTTTAGTAGCCACTTAGTCGAAAACACTGGCCAAAGTAAGCATTCATATTTGTTTGTGTGTGAAAAAGTAAAAAAACTAAATTGAACGTTAATTTTGGCCAGTGTTTGTGACCAAGTGGTTACTAAAAAAGACTGGACATACCCCATTTGCAATACCTTGGGTTGTCTTCTTTTGCAAATGGTATGCCATCATGGGGGTAATTCTCATTCCTGGGCTACCATACGCCCTCAAAGGCAACGTAACCAACCTGGCCATTTTCAATGTAAAAATATTTGACCCATATATTTGACCTTGTAACTTTCAAAAATGCTATAAAACCTGTACATGGGGGGTACTGTTTTACTCGGGAGACATCGCTGAACACAAATATTAGTGTTTAAAAACTGGAAAACGTATCACAACAATTATATCATCAGTAAAAGTGCTGTTTGTGTGTGAAAAATGCAAAAAAAGTCACTTTCACTGACAATATCATCGCTGTGATATGTTTTACTGTTTTGAATCACTAATATTTGTGTTCAGCGAAGTCTCCCGAGTAAAACAGTACCACCCATGTACAGGTTTTAGAGTGTCGTAGAACGTTACAGGGTAAAATACAGTGCTAGCAAATTAAATTCTCTGGAATTTCGGCCTGGGTTGGCAGGCAGGTCCCTCAAATTGCAATCAATAAAATTACTGAATTATGTAAAAATATTACATAAATATGCACGTAGAATTTAAATATATATGCATATTTATATATTTGAAGTCTACGTGTATATTTATATAATTATTTATGTAATTTTGTATATGGACATATGTATATTTCTTATTATTTTTATTTATTTATTATATACATAGATATATATACAAATTCATTCTAAGTGTATTTTGATATAAATATATATATATTAATTTTAAAATACAGTTAGAATAAAATTTCATATAGATATATAATTTTTTTTTAATTTTTATTATTATTTAAAAAAAAATTTATTTAATTTAAATTACTTATTATTTATATTTTATAATAATATATATACAATATATATAGTTATTATATATATTATATATATACGTGTGTAATTTAATTATAAGTGTATTTTATATTAATATAAGTACATATTAATATAAAAATACACTTAGTATGACATTATATATATATATATATGATATATAGACATATATTATATAGATATAATATATGTCTATATATCATATATACACCTATATAATTATTATTATTTTTTTTATTAACATTAACTTTATTTTTTTTTCTGATTTTACACTAGCAGGGAGACTGCCTGTCAGCACAGGCAGTCCCCCTGCAGGCAGCACTATGGACACCTATTGTGACCATGTGATCACTGTGTTAAGCGATCACATGGCCACAGGGGTCCTAAATCAGTGTGGGGAGACTGTCTGGGCTGCAGGCAGTCTCCCCACAACCGGAGCCACGCTGATCGCCGCCGGGGGAACGATGGCAATCAGGTAAGTAGCTCCAGACCGTTAGGACGGTTCAGGACCGTCATCGGTCGGCAAGCCAAAAATGCCGATGACGGTCCTGAACCGTCCTCGGTCGGGAAGGGGTTAAACCAAGCATAGAAGGGGGAGTAGTTCACCACTCAAAAGAACATCATGAGAAAGAAGAAAAGAGGATATATTGATAATTCAAAATATATGAAGTATTATAATATGACGCCACAAAACAAGTTAAAAGACAAATTAAATAAGATCTAACTACATAGGCATTAAGGTGCAGCAAACTGTACAAAAAATGTATATGCTTACTGTTTTACAATTATTAGATTATTAGAAGTGGTATTGAATAATGTTAATATATATCCAATGCATCTTCATATCAAATACAATGTTTCCACATTGGTTAAATAATAATTTTTTGCTATTTTTTTTCTTACCTTCTTTGTTGTTATTTTTAAAGATAAAATATAATTTTTTATAAAGCAGACGTAATAGTGCTAAAAATAATTAAGACGAAATTTAAAATGTGAATGCAAAATATTTCTCTTTTTTAATATATTATGCTTCTTTTTTATTACTAAATAACTAGGTTGAATTTTCAAATGTCTACAATAATGTTTGGGAATATTTAATGTACCTAGAATAGCATTTAACATTGAATGTTCAAGTTTTATTGCAATACAAACAAATAGAAACTGAACTGAAATTTGTAAATGGAACTGAATAGAATGCATTTTGTTGGTATGCTACTTATGGTTTTTAATATGCCAACTATGATTTTTTTTAAATGTTGGATATTGTTCTTTATTAAATGTCTAAATACATTTTCCTAAATTACTACACTATATGCTATCTTTCCCTTTTCACTTGTATTATATGAATCTAAAAGTTGGAGGGCAAAGAAGGATGTGTTATGCATTTCCATAAGGAGCAATTTGAAATGATAACTTAAATGAGAAGTGCATATGACAGAACGCACTATGGCCTTGATTTAAAATTGTTGGATAAGCTTTCCAAATTATTTACAATTTTTGGATGAACTTTTAAATTTATTTATTAACATATAAAAATGTATCACATTTGAAATGATTAAATATCCCAAAAATTTTAATCAGTTGGAAAGCTCTTTCAACAATATTAAATCAAGGCCTAAGTG